TTGAGGCGCCGGCAGAAGAAAGAAAACGAAGACTGAAACGAGGAGGGGAAGAAGAGGTTCACGAAAGGGGAAGGGACCAGAACAATTATAAAGAAAACAATTTCTTTCTTACACAATAATTGGATACGTAAGTACACTTCAACACTACTAACACTTACCACAGCAGCTCGAAATAAAATGAAATGAACAATGAAATTAAATAAAAAGAAATTTCTAAGAAAAGAGGCCCGGGGATTTGAGATAAACTAGCCTAAGTAACGTGGGACGTTATAGACTTCCCCCCTTTAGAAACTTTCGTCCTCGAAAGTTCGTCGTTCAAATAATTCAGGGTACCGGGCTCTAATTTCGTCCTCCCTTTCCCAGGTGGCTTCCTCCACTTGGTAATTTCTCCACAAGACCTTCACCAAGTCAATTGCCCGATTCCGCAGCACCTTGGTCTCTCTTGCTACGATCTCAATGGGTACCTCCTTGTAACACAAGGTTTCGTCCACTTGCAGTGGTTCATAATCCAAGACGTGTGAAGGGTCATGGACATACTTCCTCAGCATGGACACGTGGAACACGTTATGCACCGCATTCAACGACGGTGGCAAGGCCAACCAGTAAGCGACTGGGCCAATGCGCTCAAAGATCTCAAAAGGACCAATAAATCTTGGACTGAGTTTTCCCTTCATACCAAAACGTAGAACTCCCTTTACCGGTGCCACACGAAGAAAAACGTGGTCGCCCACATCATTCTCCAATGCTCTTCGCCTAACATCAGCGTAACTCTTCTGTCTGCTCTGAGCTGTCTACATTCTTGCCCTAATCCTTTGGATGGTGCCATTAGTCTCCTGCACCAACTCTGGTCCCAACAGGGCCCTCTCACCGACCTCGTCGCAATGCACCGACGACCTACACTTCCTCCCATAAAAAGCTTCATATGGGGCCATGGCAATAGTTGACTGATAACTGTTGTTGTAGGCAAACTCCGTTAAGAACAAGTATTTGTCCCAAGAACCACCGAAGTCCAGACGCAAGCCCTCAACATATCCTCTAAAATCTGATTCAGTCGCTCAGTCTGGCCATCGGTCTGGTGATGGAACGCCGTAGTAGAATTGAGCTGAGTCTCAAGTGCTTTGTGCAAACTTCGCCAAAAAGTTAACGTGAAGCGGGGGTCTCGATCTGACATGATGGACGCTGGTATGCCATGGAGTTTAACTATCTCTTGCATATACAACTCCGCCCACCGTTCTACTGAAAAGGTGGCCTTGCCTGGTATGAAATGCGCAGACTTTGTTAAGCGATCCACAATTACCCAGATCACTGTGAAACCTCTAGCCGTCCTCGGCAACCCTGTAATGAAGTCCATGGCTACGTCATCCCATTTCCACACCGGTACACCGGTACACTCAGACACTTACTAACAAACTGGGCAATCTCGCGCTTCATGTTATGCCACCAGCAGTGCTTCTTAAGATCCCTGTACATTTTGGTGCTCCCAGGATGCACCGAGAACGGGGTACTATGAGCCTCGGTTAATAGGTCCTTCCTTAAAGAGAAATCTCTTGGTACACACAGTCTCCCCTGATAAAGCAGGGCCGTATCTCCATAAAGAGAAAAATCCCCTTGACCTACCATACTGAAACCCTTGCTCAGGCTGGGATCCCCCTTCTGTGCAGCGATGACCCGCTGTCTCAAAGTGGGTTCAACCGAGAGTCGAGCTAACACTGCCGAGACATCCTCCACTGCTAACTCCACCTTAGAACAATCCAACTCATCTAGTACTGGTCTACGAGACACTGTCGGAGGTGCCATGCTCGTTGCCCTCCTACTGACTGCATCGGCCACCATGTTCGCCTTGCCCAGATGGTAGTTGATCTCACAGTTATAGTCCTTTACCAGTTCTAACCACCTCTTCTGCCTTAGGTTAAGTTCTTTTTGAGTGAAGAAATATTTCAAACTTTGGTGGTCGGTGAAAATTTGAATCTTTTCCCCATAAAGGTAGTGTATCCATAGTTTCAGGGCAAACACTACCACAACAAGCTCCAAATCATGGGTGGGGTAATTAAGCTCGTGTACCTTTAACTGCCGTGAGGCATAGGCTATGACTTTCCCATGTTGCATCAGAACGCAACCCAAACCTCTCCGTGAAGCATCACTGTACACCACTAGACCTCCCGTCCCATCCGGTACCGTTAGTATCGGGGCTGTGACCAAACGCTTATTTAGTTCCTGAAAACTCTTCTCGCACCCATCGCTCCAAGCGAGTGTGGCATTCTTACGGGTCAACTGAGTCAAGGGCGCTGCCAACCAGGAGAAATCTTGGACGAACCTCCTGTAATAGCCAGCCAGCCCGAGAAAACTACGGATTTCGGTCACTGTGCGAGGCCTTGGCCAACCACTGACCGCCTCTACTTTGGCCGGGTCCACGACAATACCTTCCCTGGTGACTATGTGGCCAAGGAAGGCCATCTTATCCAACCAAAACTCGCATTTTGAGAACTTCACATACAAGCTATTCCCCCTCAAAACGGTAAGGACCCGTCGCAGATGTTCTTCGTGCTGTTCTTTTGTCTTGGAGTAAATTAAAATATCGTCGATAAATACGATCACAAACAGGTCCAAAAATTCCTTAAAAACCCGATTCATGAGATCCATGAATGCCGTAGGGGCATTAGTGAGTCCGAATGACATTACAGTAAACTCAAAAAGCCCATACTTGGTCCTGAAGGCTGTCTTTGGTATGTCGACGTCCTTAATTCTCAATTGGTGGTACCCCGATCGTAGGTCTATCTTCGAGAACACCATCGCTCCTTTTAGTTGGTCAAAGAGGTCGTCAATGCGAGGAAGGGGGTATCTATTCTTCGTTGCACCTTGTTAAACTCTCGGTAATCGACGCAAAGTCGCATAGATCAGTCCTTCTTTTTCACAAAAAGCACTGGAGCACCCCAATGAA